TGCAGAATTTTGCTTTTATCGGCTTCCTCAAGTTGGTTGAATAGATCTTCTGAATGCTATAGATCCTCTGAATAATGAACATTCAGGGAGTAGTATGTACCATTGCTGGTTGCTACCTGTTGGTTTCACCTCTTGATAAGCCGGGGGCTTGTTGTGAGATTTTTATTGCACCACTCAGAGCATTTCAAGGATGCCTGAACAGTTAGAGTCAGAGCTGAGTGGCAGTAAAGCAAGAAAGCAGTTTCAGGCAGTTAAGTGCTGTTAGCATATGCTTGGGGTTGCTGAGAAATCCACAACTTCTGTGTTGACTACATTTGCTATGTAGGATGTTCAACCAGAGTTGGTAGACAAGACATGTATGCTTCATGTTGAATCTAGATATCAGAATCGAAGTTTAGATCTTTGTGGCCTAAATCTTTTGTCAGTAATCATTGCACCTTTGTTGGAGTAAATTTTGTTTGTAATAAAGGAATTATTATTTCTTAACTGAAGAAACCAGGCTAACTTGTTTCTGACAGTGAACTAAAAGGAGATACCCATATAATTGGCTATGTAACCGTCTTCTTTAAATTCAAACTTTACGGCCACTGGAGGAGTGGGATTAAGAAAGGAATCCATTCATGCCTCCAACCTTAGTTGTAACAGTATTCAAAACTTTATATAAAATATATACTTTGTAGTGTCATACCTTAAATTCATAAGATCTACCGCAATGAGCAATTCATTCTAAATTTAATTAAAGCAAGTTCAGATTCATGAAATTTGTTGAAATCTTTATACAGGTTCTAGGAAATTGTTCAGTCAACCTGGCAAAGTACTTTGAGTTTCTAAAATTTTTCATTGCCTCATTATACCCATAGCTAAAATATGGCAGTGCATGATCAGGTTCAACAAGAATCAAAATTGTTTTTTCTGTCTTTGATCCTGTGTGTAACAGTTACAGTAGTGTTTGATATTAAAGCACATCTAACAACTAATAATTTAAAGAGTCAGAAGGAAACAGGCAAAATGTTTTTCTTCCTCTTTTGAACTATTACTCTTCTGGTGTTTATTGATTTCTGCCTGCAGCATGATGAAAGTAAGCTTGTAGCTTGTTCATATTTACATCTATGTTCAGTGTATTGCGTGAGATGGGCATCAAAGATATTTTAAAGCTGTTTATTTAAGTGAACTTCCTTATTTGCAGGTTTGTCTTTTCCAGTTGGTATAGTTCCTCCTAGAAGCAAATCGCCAATGCCTGAATCTTCTACAATTGCATCTTACGTTACTTTAAGAAAGCATAGGAAAATGGATGGCACAGTACCTCATGTGGTATGAATAAGTATTTACTTGTGAAAATATTGTTAATTAAAGTGCAGCAGTCCAAACTTCTGTTGACTTGCAAGATTTTTTTATTTAGAGAAACCAAATGTATAATCCCCTCCTGTGAAAATTGAATTATTAAAGTTCTTCACAATCTATACTAATAATAAGGTGAACTATGTATTTTTATCCATTAGTTATTCACAATTCTGAACGGTTTGCATGCATACTCCAACGGTAACTATAAAGAGGAAACACAAATACACAAATTGCATTCAGATGTTATTATCTCTTCAGAGCTATTGTCTTCAGTATTCTAATATGACTCTTCCATGTTCCAAATCTGCAGGAAATAAACTGCTTTTCTTTATTAAAACTTAGAAACTTCATTCCTTACATTGTTCACACTGTTAGTTATGGACATTTCTGAGGAGTTGACCAATTAGTGCTTATGCATAAACATGTGTGCAAGTACTGATAAACTCGGAGCACGAGTATCTTGCAGCAGTACTGAAAGGTTGGACTGGAAGCACAGCATGCTAATTTGGGAAGAAAATCAAATGAATGAAAACTAGAAGCAGCACTTACTAGTCCACAAACAATAAAGGTTGCATGTTTTTCTTCCCCTCAAATAGAACAGCATATTAGTTAAATGTGAATAAATGTCATTCTGGCAGGAAAGACCCAAGAGTGCAATTGAGCAGCTTTTCCTAGCAGAAGGTCCGCGACCTCGAATGAGCGTTGAGGAACAACTTGAAAGGATAAAACGCCATCAGCAAGCTTCTCTGAAAGATAAAAGGAAAGGATTAAATTTGATAACTCTACAAGATCAATCACCAGCAAAAAGTCTATCAAGAGAAAAGAACCAGATAAAGCCAATTTATTCTGGAGACAAGTATTCAGTAAGTTCAGTAGTTTCAATTGAATAAATGATTTTTTGGAGGTGAGGGGAGAAGTGGAGAATGGTGGTGATGTTGCCATGCCATTTTTTTTGTAAAAGTGCAAAATGATTTGCAGACCTGTTTTTTTTTTTAAACCCATTAGTTTGTCTGAAATATTTATTTTTAATTTTAACTTCTGTGTATGAAAGAGAGATCCAGAAGCCCTCACATTGATTTGTTATCTGCAAGTTTATTGACTAGTCATTTGAATCACTGTGTTGTTCAATATATTAGTTCTGGTCAGAATCAAAAGAGGGAGGGCAAAATGTTTCTTTGATTCTCTCACATGTCCATTAATGTTAAAATATCCTCATAGTAAAATGGCTCCAAGAGTCAAAATATCATTATTAGACTTTTTGGTAGATGTATGCATATGTTTGGACTAGTAACTGTCTTCTTTAGTTGAATGGCAAAGAGATAATGAACATGTCTTCTTTGAACCCAGGTGTCCAGCTTTATGATGATAATTATACATGAATAAATCCTTTGTGGCAAATTCTGTCATCTGATCCATGAACCAGTCAATTCGCAGTCTGCTGTTATTGTTGTCTGATTGTTCAATCAGTGTGACTTAGTAGTCATACTTTGTGGGGGGAGTAGGGAGCTTGCCACTGGCAGCTGGAATTCCTCCCGCATGTCTCCAGGTACGTGCCATTGTCCTAATAAGTGGATTGACTATGCATGGCCAATTAGCAAGAAGCTTTACCTCTGCGCTGCATAGGGAAAGCACATTTTAGAACTGTTGAGATTGTATGCTAATATGTGGGAATTTCTAAACTTTTTCTGTGCCAATCATTGCTTAAGCTCTCTAGAAAAAGAAATGGGCAGACATATTTGAAGAACATAACCTCTGCCTCTGAAGTTTGAGAGACCCTTGAATGTGATGATAGGTTTATGCTAGACATTTGGCTTACTCAAGAAAAGTGACTTGGATTTATTCTGTCTGAATGATCACTGCAATATTTTAAGATGTTGAATGATTAATATGAGTCTTGGTGTAGTCAGAAAAGGGTAGTGATGTAAACTTGGTTTTGGATGACCGTTTGGATGTGTCATGGATATGTCACCTACTAACTGCATTAGTAACGTTGCCAATGCACTTAATGACTCAGATATTGAATCCATAAATTGTTTTTAATTGTGGAAATTAATTCAGATCTAGTTTCTCACCAGCAAGTCACTACGTTTTCTCCATGGACATCTTATTTTTATTAACATTTAATCTTCAGGCATGGTTAGGAGCCTCTTTTTGTGCAATTCCACATGTCCATCTCATCACTTAGTCATTTCCAAAGAGACTGAATGACTTTGACTAGAAAGGACCGTACGCAACATGTTTTTTTTAAAATGGTAATGAAGGTTGAGCTTATCTTATGCAACAAATAAACACTTTTATAAGAGAAATACTTCTTTCGTACTTTTTTTGAACTTGAAAGAGAACTATGAAACAAAATCGATGATTTCTCCTAATTAAGCACTTCACACCAGTTTATAACTTGTTATATATATGAAATAAGGATTAGTAACTCTTCCTTTTTTTTTTCTGTTTATTCATTCACGGGATGAGGGCGTCGCTGGCTAGGCAGCATTTATTGCCCATCCCTAATTGCCCAGAGGGCAGTTGAGAGTCAACCACATTGCTGTGGGTCTGGAGTCACATGTAGGCCAGATCAGGTAAGGATTGCAGTTTCCGTCCCTAAAGGACATTAGTGAACCAGATGGGTTTTTCTGACAATTGACAATGGATTCATGGTCACCATTAGACTGTTAATTCCAGATATTTGTTGAATTCAAATTCCACCATCTGCCGTGGCGGGATTTGAACCCGGGTCCCCAGAACATTATCTGGGTCTCTGGATTAACAGTCCAGTGATATTACTACTAGTCCATTGCCTCCCCTTAATGAAATAAGCATATGAAATAAGGATTAGTAACTCTGAATTTTGTTAATTATTCTGGAATTAAAGCTGGTCTCGGTAATAGTGACCATGAAATTATCAATTTGTTATGAAAATGATCTGGTTCATTAATAGGCTTTAGGGGTGTAAATCTGTCCTCTTTATATGATCTGACCGACGTGATTCCAGATGCACAGCATTGTGGTTCCCTCTTAACAAGCCTCTAAAATTGCCTAACAAACAACTCAGTTGTATAAAACCACATAAGAAAAGGCCAAAAGAAATGAGACCAGTCCTTCCTGACAGCAGCGTGGGTATATCTGCACCAGATGGGCAGCAGTAGTTCAAGAAAGTGGTTCAACACCACCTTTAAGGCAATTAGGTTTGGACAAGGTTGACATGTAGGAATTAAACAAGAACTAAATGTGTGCTATTAGAGTGTAATAATTACATTGCTACAAGTTACCTGACAATCAATAATTGAAAATTTATGACTAAAAATGGACTGTTTGGTTGTCCCCAAAAATGTTACCCCTTATTGCATTGTCTCTTACTTCTGGGAAAAATTATTCCTGGGTGAAAATGGCAGTGGAATTTTAAATCAGTCACAATTGAAAGACTGCTCTTTCTGAACATAAAGGAAGAATATCATAAAAGCAGAAAATAATTGAAGTACACTGGCAGCATATATAAAATGAGAAAAACAAAGCTGGCATTTCACATCCGTGATCTTTCATCAGAAATGGGAAAAAATGACAAGGATGATGGATTTTGAAGCAAATGAATAGGTTGAGGGTGGGCGAGGTTGGGGCAAGGTGGTAAGAAGAACAAAGTGGAAAGTCTGTAATGAAGTCAATGCCAAGAGACCAAAAAAAAGCATTCAGGGTGCACGGCCATAGGACGTGGTAATGGGACAAATAAAGAAACAAAAGATGCGTGTGGAGGGGGCATGAGTGGCAGGGTTCTGGATAATAGCTATCTGAAAGCAAACATAAGAAACAAGGGGAAAAAATCCACACCTGCAAAGAGAAAGGAAGCAAAATAAGTAAAGATTAATCTATAGTTGTCTGAATTAATACAGAGGGCTGTAAAATGCTCAGTTGAAAGATGAGGGTTCCTTGAGCTAACACTTCATTAGAATGCTGCCGGAAGTGGGCAATGAAAAGGTTGGAGTGGGAGACTGTTTGTTGGAGGTCAGTTAACTAGCTCAGGACATCTCTGCAGGAGTTCCTCAGGGTAGTGTCTTTGGCCCAATCATCTTCAGCTGCTTAATCAATGACCTTACCTCTATCATTAAGTCAAAAGTCAAAATTTGCTGCTGGATTGCATAATGTTCAGGTACTGGAGCAGTCCATGTCCACATGCATAGAACATAGACCTGTGCAGCACAGGAACAGGCCCTTCAGCCCATAATGTTGTGCCAAACATAACTCCAAATGAAACTAATCCCTTCAGCCTGCCCTTGGTCCATACAATATATGCAAGGAACGGAGAGGTATCTGCTGCAGCACCACCCCTAGCGATGCGTTCCAGACTCTTACCACTCTCTGTGTAAAAAAAACTTGTCCCTCACGTCTCCTTTGAATTTTTCCTCCTTTAATTTTAAATGCATGCCCCCTAGTTTTAGACATTTTAACTCTGGGAAAAAGATTCTGACCATCAACCCTATCTATGTATCTCATAATTTTATAGACTTCTATGAAGCCTCCCCTCAGGCTCTGCCGTTCCAGAGAAAACACCCTGAGTTTTACTAGCCTCTCCATATTGCTCATACCCTCTAATCCAGACAGCATCCTGGTAAACCTCTTCTGCACCCTCACTAAAGCCTCCACATCCTTCCTGTATGTGGCGACCAGGATTGAACACACTACTCTAAATGTTGCCTAACCAAAGTCTTATAAAGCTGCAATATGATATCCTGACTCTTGTATTCAATTCCCTGACCAATAAAGACAAGCATGCTATACGCCTTCTTTACCACCCTATTTACTTGCGTGACCTGGATAGTCACAGAGAATGCTGGAGATACTCAGCAGGTCGAGCAGCATCCGTAGAGAGAAATAAAGTTAAAATTTCAGGTAGAGTACGACTCTTCTTCAGAACTCTTACCAGACTCAAAATGCTAACTCTATTTCTCTCCACAGATGCTGCCAGACTTGCTGAGTTTCTCAGCATTCTGTGTGTGTTTCACATTTCCGGCATCTGCAGAATTTTGCTTTTATTAAGACATGAACAATATCCAGGCCTGGACTGACAAGAGGCAAGCAAGATCAGTGCCACACAAATTCCCGGCAATGACCATTTCCAACAAGAGAGAATCTAACAATCACCCCTTGGCATTCAATGACATTACCATTACCAAATCCCTGACTGTCAGCATCCTGGGACGTAACACTGATCAGAAACTGATCTGGACTCATCATGTAAATACTGTGACTGCAAGAGCACATCAAGTGGCTAGCAATGCTGCAGCAAGTAGCTCACTACCTGACTCCCTAAAGCTTGTTCATCATCTACAAGACAAAGTAGCTGCTTGACCGGCACCACTTGCACAAGCATTCACTTTCTCCTCCATTAATGCTTAGGAGCAGCAGTGTGTACCGTCTACAAGTTGCACTGCAAAAAATGTACAAGGCTTGTTACACAACACCTTCCAAACTGAACAACCTCTATCATTGAGAAGGAGAAAGACAGCATATGCATGAGCACACCACCAGCTGAAAGTTCCTCTCCAAGCCACACACCATCCTGACTTAGAAATATATTGACATTGCTTTCGTGTCAGAGTCAAAATCCTAAAACTCCCTCATGAGTGACATTATGGATCTATCTACACCAAATGGACCAAAGCAGTTCAAGAAGACAGCTCACCACTACGTTTTCAAGGGTAACTAGGGATTGGCATTAAACGTTGGCAGAGCCAGTGACACCGACATTCCATCGATGTATACGTCAAAAGAAAGTAGAGAATTAAAATGACAGCTAATTGGAAGTTCCAGGTTCATGCTTATGAACTGAAGGGAGATGTTTCACAAAGGAGTCACCATCAGTCAGATCTGTATTTGAGGAGACCTTGTCATGAACAATGAATACAGCAAGTTAAATTGGAAGGAGAAATTGCTTTTTTACATGGAAGCAATGCTTGGCCTTGGATAGTAAGAAGGGAAAAAGGAAGAGAACAGATGTTGCATCTCCTGTCCTTGTGTGAAAAGCTGCTTTAGAGTGCAGGGAAGTAAGGGGAGGGGAAGATGTGTTTATAGGTGACAGAAATGACAGAGGATGGTCCGTTAAATTTTGAGGTTGTTGAAGGTTGGGACAAGGAGAACCCCATTGTTTGTCTAGGAGGGAAGTTTAGGACCAAGGGCAAAAGTGTATGAAATAGAATGCTCACAAGTAAGGTCTCTGTCAACCAGAGTGGTTGGGAATTCTCGGTTGAGGAGAAAGGAAGCTATATTGAAAGCATCCAAATGGAATGTTGCATCAAAAGAACAGATGTTGTGGAGAAACTAGGGAATAGCATAGATTCCTCACAGGAAGCACAGTATTATTCAGTGTCATCGGCTTAGGTTTGAGAGTCAGTGGGCTTATGTTGGTTGACAGTCTATTCCCAAAATTGGAACAGCAAAGTCAGGTAATGGAAGAATCTGAGTTTGACTGTTTTAAGGTAAGTGAAGTCTGAAGCTAGAAACTAAATTATTACATTTTCTAGTTCAGGATGAGCATTGGAGCCAAAACAATTTACTAAAAAAGGAGAGGTTAGAGGGTCTCTCAGTGTAGAACTGGTACTAAGAAATTTCCAGATGTCCCGCAGAAAGGTGGGCATAGCTAAGACCCATATAATATCAAAAGCTGTACTTTTTTATTTAGAGGAGGTACAGTATTGGAATTGGAGAAGTTGTTCAATGCAGGGGAGATGAGTGGTAGATTTGGATAGGTTGAGGTTTCATTCAAGAAAGAAGCAAAGTGCTCTTATATCCTCCTGGGTGGGGGAATGGAGGTGTAGAGGGATTGAATGTCCATGGTGTAAAGCATATGGTTAGGGTCTGGAGTTTGGAAATTGTTAAAATGATAGATGATAAAGGAAAATTCAAATGTGTGGGGGAGAGAAGAATGGACAAGGAACAAAGAGATTTGAGATAGGAAGAAATCAGTTTGATCAACAAAGATTGAGTGGAATAGATACACAATGAAATGATGTGCAATCAGAGCAGTTCTGTTTTTGGAACTTTCTCAAAGCAGGGGGAAAGACATAAGGTGTGGATGATAAAATGCCATTTAATCCAAAAACCCAGTTCCCTCCATAAGTCATGTTCAACAAATATGGACTTAGATTCATTACAGTAAGTGTTTGCTTAAAAGGAAAAGGTTTGATAGTGACAGTGACTGTACATTTCTCTTGATATAATTTTTTCCCAGTATCCCTCTGTCAGTTTATTCACGGGTTGCCCACGGTTAAATATAACTAATACATGGGGTCTCTTTATAGTAATCCAAATTGAAATAACAATGATCAAAAAATGGTGGATTTTCTTAAATGTTTTGAAATGACTAGAGACAAGCCACAAAGGTAGTCAGGTTATACATTGTTATAAATTAACAATTCCCACACAGTGCCTTTTGGGTATGCAAAATGAAATTCTTGTAGTTCATTTGAACTGTTGGATCACCCAAATTAGCTGCAAAATAATTATCTGTATTGATGCAGTGCTGATTCGTTTACTTTTGGTGGGGTCGCTTTGTCCAGTTAACTGGATGGCTGATTTGTGATGCAGAATGGTGCCAACACCATGGGTTTATTTCCTATGCCAGCTGAGGTCACCATGAAGGACTCTCCTTAATCCCTCCCCATGCTTGAGGCGTGGGGACCCTCAAGTTAAACCACTACCAGTTGTCTCTCTGTAATAAGAGAGCACCCCGTAACGTCTTTACCTTTTAGCTTGTGTTTAGTATGCACGTGAAAAGTCTGAGAAAAACATGTTAATTGTTTTAAAATGAATACAGTATAATTCACTTCGACTAGTGGGCATAACATTGAACTGCTATGCAGGTTTTTAATGATTGCTATTTGAAGCAGTATTTTAATTGTCAGTTAAGTTTAGTTAACCTAACAATGTAGATGTGCCTATTGCGACTGTGGATTCTTTTGTTAGATCTGTGTATGAAATCCCTCTACCACATTCCCTTTCCTCTTCAACTCCTCTTGTAAATTCTACAAATTTCAGAAGTAAGTGTATTCTGCTGTCAGGCTTTACCCCTCAGGGAGCAATGATGTCCCCTACTCAGTTTGCCAATCAACATCAACTTTTCCTCTGTGGAAACTGTTAATTAAACTTTTCTCTCACTTCTCTCTCAACTGTTTTATATGTGCAGTTAGTAATTAAGTTCTTGATGTCTTCTTCCTGCTGTATCTTAACGGATCATCCTCTCAGCACTGGCTGCATCACTGGGCATGCTGTTGCATCGTAGCACAGTCAGTCACTGGAAATAAGCTTTCATTCTTTCCTATATTTGAGCTAGTGCCAGAGAACTGGAAAATTGCAAACATTATATCCTTGTTCAAAAAAGATGTGCAAAGATAGACCCAGGCGTTACAGACCAGATGGTTTAATGTTGGTGGTGGGCAAACTTCTAGAAACAGTTATTTGGCATAAAATGAATAGTAATGTGGAAATGTTAATTTGAAAGTGTCATCATAGATTTGTTAAGGGGAAAATTGCATCTAACTTGCTGAAGATTTTTTTTGAAGAAGGTAGATGAAGGCAGGTCCACTGATGTGTGCATGGACTTCAAAAGTGCATGTTACAGTACCATACAACAAACTGTGAGGCAAGAGATAGGTCATGGAATAAAGCAGACAACTCCTTGATGCCACACTTAATCAAATGTAGCCTTGATGTCATCTCAGCTGTGGAATACAGTACTTTTGTTCATGTTTGAACCAAAGGTTAGGAACGCAGTACTTGAAGTCTGGTGGAGGTAAGTTCAATAAAGGCATTCAAGAGAGCATTGTTTCTATTTAAATCATCATCCAATGCACCAGATTGTGGGGAAAAGGCATGAGTTTGGCACTAAACCAAAATGGTCAGCATGACATGATGGGGCAAACGGCCTCCTTCTACACAATAGCAAATCTGTGATTTTTCGATTTTCTTCTATAATTCAGTCACTTCCACTAAATTATGTATACATCGAAGTATAAAACCATTATGGTTTGATGTTTGGTATCCAATTGCGCTTAGTAGTTAATTACGTGCAGGACTCTGTGCTCTACTGTCTGTTGCCTGGGACATACGTTGAGAGCATCATTAATTTGGTGCAAGGTGCTCTTTGATCTGCCTGAAACTTGTTGGTCTTCCAGAGCAAGGAGTTGACTTCGATCAAGTGTTGCAGACTGGCATATTCCAAGGTCCAGGACTACTTGCTGAGGGATGAGCTTAGGGCAGCCAAGGTGCAGTGGGGAAAGACCACCATCTAAGGATTTTGTTAAATGGGGGTCCATTTAGTTATCGGACCCTCCCAGTGCTGCAAATGCAAGTAAATATAGTCTTGTACAAGTAATAAGTCCCTTGGGTTTGTTTGGTGGATAGAGTCATACTCTAATGATTGTTTCTTAACGAACTGCTTTAGTGACTGTGTGTGTATATAAAAACATTTCTATGAGAAAAGTATATTCTTGAAATGGAAAAAATAATATTTTGCATTTACTCTGGAAAGAAGTTAAATTTCACTAATTTGTATTTAAGAACCTAGATTCTGCATTTAAAAAAAAATACAAGATTTAGAATTGGTACTAAGTTGGACTGAACTTTTTTAATTGTTCTTGGGATATGAGCAAGGCTTGCAGTTACTGCCCTTACAGTGCCATGGAAAACTGGCAACAGCCCTCACCATTTCATAAAATTGTTGTTTGCTAGATCACTACAGATGATTGAGAATCAATTGCTTAGGACTTGGAATAGAATTGATCAGATAAGGACAGGGCTTTTATTCCATAAAGGACTGCATGATCCAGTTGGATTTTTAACAGCAATTTGATATCTTCATTCTCACTTTTACTGCTTTTTATTTTTAGATTTTTAAACAGAATTCAAATTCTGAAACTACAATGGTAGAATTCTCTGCATTATTTCCAGACCTATGGATTGTTAGTCTTATAAAATAACCATCACATCCTCTAAACATTGTTACTTATTTCAGGTTCATAGAAGCAAAACTGCTGAAAGTAATATCAAAGAATTGGAAGCTGCTGTTCAAAATGATAGTTGGAACCAACATCGAGAAACTGCAGCTGAGGAAATTGCTCGTTTGAAAGAAGAGCATATTGAACCAAATCAAGAAAAGTTGGAAAGTGGGAATGATGTGAGTATACATCAATTCGTGATAGATATTTGGCCTTGTCATTATCACTCTCTGTCTTGTGCACACTATAACTAAAGTACAAATGTTCTGGGTAATTTATGTAAAAAGTTGTGTTTCGTTGGGTATGCATTATTGGAAGGTTATAAAAGCAATGCGAAACTTTGCCATGCAAAGCTTAGATTCGTTGGTATGTTAACAGGATTGAGAGATAATAGTTATGAAGAGAGACTTGAAATGTTTGAGTTTTTTCTCTTCACTGGAGTTAAACTAGTTAAATGGTGATCTTGTATAGGCTGATATGAGTTTGAAGGGTTATGAAGGGACAAGTAGTGAAAGACTGTTTAGGCGGAAGAGCAAAATGTTTGGGAGCAACTATAAAATAATTACATTCAGTATCTTAAAGTGATACTCTCTCAAGTAATGCTGCAGGGCCTGTGCCTCCATTTCAGGTCAGCATTGGGATCGGCCTAGGCCTGCACTCTACAAAGTGCTCTTTTTCGTTCAGTTTTATCTTTTGCCTGATCTCTTTTCAGATATTTCCTAACTTGCTCAGAGGTGTTATTACATAACCCTGGAGCAAGTGTGACTTGAACCCAGGCCTCCTGACTTAGAGGTACTAACATTACCAATACACCACAAGAGCTCTTGTAACCTTTCTTTAAATTTAACTTATTTCTCTAGTCAACCTTTTCAGACATGTTATTACACACTTCTGGAGCAAGTGGGACTTGAACCTGGGCCTCCACTGCACCACAAGAGCCCTTCTAACCTCTTTTCTGATGCAGCTAAGATATGGAATGCAGTTGTGAGCATTTAAAGGCACCACTTATTCTACTTCACATTACCACTGTAATTCAGGGTCTTTGTCAAATAATAAACCTTGAAGACTCCTTTGTCATCCTTAATGCAGCCACCTTGTTTTTGCATTTCCATAGTCCTCAGGCCAAGTGCTCATGTCTGAAAGGTGCACTGACGCGGATTCTAAGATACAAAGCCCTGATGAAACTGTGGATAAAAAGAAGGATCTTGATGGAATAAAATCCAGAAGCAGGTATGTTCTTGCTTGTTATTTGGGAAATTACTCAAGAAATGTGTTGTTTATCTTTGTTCAATGTGAGTATTTCTTACTAAGTGGCATGAAAATATACAATCATCATGGCAGGAGGTGATGGTGGAATGGTATTGTTGCTAGATCAGGAATTCAGAGACACTCGTAGTTTTGGGGGGACCTGGGATCAAATCCCAGCATGGCAGAAGTTGCAATTTGAATTCAGTTTTAAAGATCTGGAATTAACGAGATGTATTTTAAAGTGAAATATAAAAAGCGTAATGATGAACACTAATGCCATTTAGGAAATGCAAATTGCCACCATTACCTGGTATGGCATACATGTGGCTTCAGACCCACAGACTCTTAACTGCCCTCTTAAATGGCCTAGCAAGCTATTCCATTTTATCTGCTAAAAAGTCTCAAAACTGAAATGAAATCAGACTGCCATCTGAATCATCCTAGCCACCAGAAACGACAGTGACAAACCCCATTCTATTAACTGGCAAAGTTCTCCTTACCAACATCTTGGGTGCCAAAATTGGAACACCAATGGCCTTCAGTAGTCATACTCTCAGAATCATATCCTGCACACAGTATTTCCAGACAATATCTTCATTGTTCCCGGATTTGCCCTGTCCTTCACAAACAGACCCAGCAGAGGTTCTGGTACAGTAATATAAGGTTGGAAAGGAATATTTCAGGAGTCTTCAACTTTGACTCCAGACCCAATCACGTCTGACATATATTACCATATACAATGCCCCCAACTTCCCCAGTCCTCCTTAGAAAGTGCAGAGGGTGGCAAATGTGTAGCATGTACTCAGTAGGTGACTTCAATGTCTGTCACCAAGAGTGGATTGGCAGCACCACTACTGACTGAGCTAGTTATGTCCTAAAGGCATAGCTGCTAGATTGAGTCTGCAGCATGTGATGAGGGAACCAACAAGAGGTAAAATCTTCATTCTCACCAATCTGCCTGTCACAGATGCATCTTTACTGGACAATATTCATAGAAGTGACTACGACACAGTGATTATGGAGACAAGTCCTGTTTTCACCATTATAGATGTCCTCTATTGTGTTATGAGGTACTACCAACATGCTAACTGTATCCGTTTCTCCCAATGTGGCCTCCTCTACATCGGTGAGATCAAGCGCAGAGTCGGTGACTGACTCGTGGAGCATCTGCAGTCTGTACACTATAATCAACAATACCTTCTGGTTGCCAACCATTTTAACTCCCCCTCCCACTCCATGGGTGGCATGTCCATCCTGGGCCTCCTCCAGTGCCACAATGATGCCACACACAAACTGGAGGAACAACACCTCATATTCTGCCTCAGGAGCTACAGCCCTATGGCCTGAACATAGAATTCACCAGTTTTAAAATTCCCCACCCCCAGCCTTATCCCATTGTCCAACCCTCCCTCTCATCCCCGCTTCCTTGACCTGACACAACCCGTCCATCTTCTTTCCCACCTATCTGCCCCATCCTTCCCATTGACCAATCTCTCTAATTGCATCCACCTATCATCATCATCCCACCTACCTTTCCCCAGCCCAACCCCTCCTCCCTCTATCTATTTTCCAGCTCCCTTCCCCCTCCTCAGTCCTGAACAAGGGTCCTGACCCAAAATGTTGACTGTCCTGCTCCTCTGATGCTGCCTAACCTGCTGTGTTCCTCCAGCTCCACACTGTATTGACTCTGACTCCAGCATCTGCAGTTCTTGCTATCTCCAAGTGACTTAAAACTATCATCTTGCTAAATGGGTAGACTTTGAACAGACCTAACAACTTATAAGTGGGCATCCCTGAGGTGTTGTGGCCAATTATCAAATGAATCATACTCAAACACAATCTGCAAACTCATGGCTCAGCATATTCCTCAGTCTACCAACAATCATGCCAGGAGCAACACCAGGCATACCTAAAATAGAGTTGTTAACCTGGTGAAGCTAAAAAACAGGACTTAACATGTATGCCAAAATCATAAGCTGCAAGTGATAAATAACCAAAGGATCAAATCTAAGCTCTGCAGTCTGTCACATCCAATCATGAATGGTGACACACAATTAAACAACTCATTGGAAATGGCAGCTCCACAAATAACTCAACAAAATCCTCAATGATGGGAGAGCCCTGTGCTTTACTGCAAAAGATATGGCTGAAGTATTTGCACAATCTTCAGCTAGAAGTGCCAAGTGGATGATCATGCTGGCTTCCTTCAGAGGTCCCTGCGTCACAGGTGTCAGTCTTTCAACCAATTCGATTCGTGCCATATGATATCAAGAACTGGCTGGAGGCACTGGATTCTACAAAGACTGTCTATAACAGAATGCAGCAGTACTGAAGATGTGTGCTCCGGAACTTGCAATGCCCTAGCTAAGTGTTTGTAGTACAGCTGAAACGCTAGCATCTACCCGCAAATGTGACATTTTGCCCAGGTATGTCCTCAACTCAAAGACGAGAGAAATACAGCCTGGCCAATTACTGCCCCATCAATCCACTCTCAATCATCAGTAAATTAATGGAATGTGTCATCAACAGTGCTATCAAGCAGCACTTGCTCACAGATGCTCAGTTTAGATTTCACAAGGGGCACTCAGTTGCTGACCTTATTGGACTTTGGTTCAGCTTCGGTTCAAGTATGAATGAAAGAGCTGAATTCTAGAGGTGAGGTGAAAATCATTGCACTTGACATCCAGATTGCATTTGACTGAGTGTGCCACAATGTGAGTCTGACCAAACCCTACTAAACTAGAGTCAGTGGGAATACGAAAGACTCCACTGGTTGTGGGTTTTGGAGGTTTGTCATCTCAGTTTCCGAACAGGAGTTATTAAGTAGTGTCCTTGGCCCTTCAGGTACCTCTTCAGTGACCATCATACTGCATAAGATTAGCCGTAGGATGTTTGCTGATGATTGCATAATGTTCAGCATCATACACAGCACAGATACGGAAGCAGTCCATGTCCAAATGCAGCAAGGTCTGGACAGTATCCCAGTTTGGGCTGACGAGTGGCATGTAACATTCATGCAACAATACTGAATTCCCAAAGCCTGTTCATCATCTATAAGACACAAGTCAGAAGTTTCATGGTATACTCTCCACTTGCTTGGATAAGTGCAGGTTCAACACAACATTCAAAAAGCTTGACATCATTCAGGACAGTACAGCCTACACGATTGGCACAACATTCACAAACATTCGCACTGTCCACCACTGATGCTCAGAAGCAGCAGTATGTCCTGTCTACAAGAGGCACTACAAAAGGCTCCTTAGCTTCTAAATCCTTGGTCACTACCAAATAGAAAGATGAGGGCAGCAGATGCAATGATAAAACCTCCTCCTGGAAATATTGCTCCAAGCCACTTACTATTCTGACTTGGAAATGTATCACTGTTCCTTAAGTGTCACTGAATCAAAATAATAGAACTCCTTGCCTAATGACATTGTGTGTTGTGAAAGAGCAAGGAAAGGGAACTAAGTCAATAATTCTTCCAAAAGGTCAGCATAAAAATTATGGGCTGAATGGTGGTCTTTTCGGTGATATATAATTCTTGCAACTTAATTTGTGTGCCAGATTCAATTATAATGCGTTCAGTGAATCTTTCCGTGCCAAAAAATATGCAATCAGTAACAGTCTCCTGTAAAGGACACAAGACACCAAAAATATAATTTATGGCCACTTATGACTGATAAATTATTCATTTATAAATTATTCCATTAAAAATTGCCTGTGCTGTATTGGGGAAAGAAAGAGCTTTATCAAGTTTTTAGCACACAGCACTGCCTAATTTAAATTGAATGGAATGTATAACAGTGAACAGTGGGAATAAGATGTTGTCTCACTGGTTAATTAGCACTTTTATGCAGATATGTGCTGAACTTGATATCCTCGTGTTCCTCTTCTGTAAATGTTTCCTGACAATGTATTTTATTCTTACCATTGAGTATGATGAATGTTTTCATTGTTGAATATCCTTTATAAAAGCATTAAATTTAAAATCGTAAAATAAAATGAGTTTCTCTTTAGTTCAAAAGCTTATCATAAATTTACTAAAATGTTACAATGCTGTGGTTAAAAACTGACAAATTGCTTTCAGTACCTAAATGCAAGTCCTCAAGTCGGCAAAGATCTTCTTTATCAATTTCTTTGAACTGCAATGATGTTTTCTCCTAACTAGACTTTTTTTTCTTTTAGTGTGTTAACTGTGGCCCCCGTTGTTAACCACAAAACCGATATCAGGGCTGATGAGGAAAATGCTCAGGAAGGCGTGAAGATGATTAATATCTCCAATGAACTAGCTGCAGATGCACCAAGAAACAGCAAACTTGTAGCAGGCAGGTTAAACTTACATTTTGAGTCAATGAAGATCTAATGTTACATCAGTGTATAGTGATACAAAAGTACTAAGCTTAAATCTTTTCAGAGTTGACAGCATGGTTCCAAAGAATTTGTGGTTTTATTGCATTGAGAATTCAGGAGAGATGATAAACAGAAAGTACCAAATCAAGTCTTTAACTGAACAACAGCTATATTTTAATTTACCCTTCTTTAGCTTATTTTACAGTGTTCGGTGCTTGTGAGTTTATATCACACATGAACTTTCACACGTGACACTTTTACTGCACTAGAATACCAGGTCTCTGTATCGGGTTGCTTTGTGGTTTTAGCATGTACGGCAATCGGAATGACCCCAAATATATGTCGGTCTGTGGTGCTACTGTGAGAAAAATGCCACCAGTGAAAACAATGAATTATACTTCAGTTCATTTCTTTGTTTTATATATTTTGTTCAACAGTTAGTGTGGTGTGTTGAAATGTATTCTCACTCCACTCTGATAGCATCATGTTATGTTATGTATATAGGATGAGAAAATTCCATTAGATCCACAAATTCTTACCACTCTTCCCTTCGGACTCATACCCATGTCTCACCGTTTTCCTTGTACTCTGTTAAAAATTCCACTCACCAAAAAAGCAAACTTCAATAGATTGTTATTCGCTCAAATCATATTTTCTTTTGACAATGACATTTTCCTAAAACATATTTAGTGTTTCCTTGAAGACTGCAAGTAGCCAGTCCTCTTTGTCACTTTCAGACTACTGTTAGACAAGTTAATTTGCTGTGAAAAATAAAACTGAAGGCCAAGTACATCTTGGAGCTATAGAATTAATTATACCCTAGATTCTGTGATTATCCTTTCATTCCATTCAGCAACATTTTCACTGTTTTTCTAAGTTTTTTTTAGTTTTTCCCTAGTTACTTATCATTTTCTGTTTTAGTTTCCTACTTGTTGCATTTAGTTTTTTTCCTTTGTCTTTTCCACACTTTTCCTTTTTTTTCCTCTGGACTTCATTATCTCCTCAAATCTGTTGAATGCTGTGGTGTCATTTTCCCATCTGTGCTCCGTATACAAATATATCAACAGGATATACCAGCCAGTTCACACTGCATGGCCACATACAACATCAACTCACTTTCCCCCTACTATCCAAGTGAGAAAAATCATTAGACTGATAAAGAGAAAAATTTAAGAAATTCCTCTGAAACTCGAAAGACAATTAAGCAAGTGCCAAAGTACTACTGCAAGACCAAGCAATAATCCTAATTGGTCTCATTTGCATTTTTAGCTGAGATGTTTTCTACTTTCAGAAAATTGTTCAGCAAATCATTTCAATGATTATATTGAACGCCGACTTAGCACGAATTTTGTATTTTTTTTACATTTTTAAAATGTCTTTTAAAATCCACTTTGGTTTCTTTTCTTATTGGGTCTAATCAAAGGGCCATGAGTCTGTTTTCACAGCTGGCTTATCATCCCTGGTATCATTCAGATGAACGTACACTGGTTATACTTGCTGCTGCTTTAATGTTCTCTTCAATAATTGGTCATCCAAAGTTGCAAACAGTGCATTCTAACCATGACTTAACTATTGTCTTATTCTAACTTATCATCGGATTTTTGGTCCTGTACACTCTGTCCAGTTTATGAAAGTCGGAATGCGATTGATTTATTCAATTTCACTTACACTGGCACTTTGAAGCAGTATTCACAATTAGTCTCTCAATCTTCCACACTCCCCAAACATCTTTAAGTTAGGCTTATATTCCAATCAGTTGTTTTCCTTTTAGAATGTTATTTCAACCATTGAATATTTACCTGTATCCACAAAATTCCACCAGTAAAGTTTTGTGTAGCATAATTGTTCACTCGGGCAGCCTTTTCCATTATTTAGTAATCTTTGTCCACAAGTTAAATTACCATTCATCAACACTGCTACCGCATAAAGTGGACCATAGAAAATCCAATTTGGCTATCAGACCTCTGTGCAATCCAAACACTTCTACATTGTGGCAACATTTATATATTGCAGTAATCTTGAAAGTCAAACTGTTGATTTAGATATCATCTAGTTATTATTATGGTGTTTACACAAAAACTGTGTCCTGCTACTGGATACTTGCCATTTTCACTGCAGTTCTATTGATTGGAACTGATATTTAGTCTAAATGTGCATCTGACAATATATTTTAACTATTTTCTTCCTCACTTCATAAACATGATTAATAAAGTGCAACTACTTTAATAGCAGTTGAGAGTATTGTTTAATTTCTTGTTTTGAAAAAAAATACCCTTGCTCTTTCAGGAGATTGTTCATATTTCTGTAAAATATGTCAAATATCTGTCAATGGCCGTTTCAGTGGTATATTGTCATGGTCCTTTTTGATGTTCATTCCCGTCCCGAGGTCTTATGTTTGTTGCTGAACCTAAAGCAGTTGAAACGTTCGACATCCCACTTGGTGCCTTGAGTGATAGCTCTCATAATGCCACTTAGTAATGTGGTGGGAGGTGGCACTTGTGCGAACAGAAGGCAAAACGCAATGGACTTTTCAAAAGCAACTATCGATAATTAAACAGAAATGTGGCAGCCATTATCCCAGTTGTTAGTCTGCTACTTCAGTACATATATGGCCTTTGAACATCTGGTTTTAAATAAATAAAGTGCAAACTTTATCAAGTTCATCAGGCAGAAAACTTGAGGGCATTAATAGTGTAGGGCCTTGCTGTGCACAAATTGGCTGTTGCATTTCTCTGTAATGTAACAACAACTACACTTCAAAAGTATCCAATTAGCTTTGAAGCTTTTGGGACATCTTGAAGTGATATATGTTTCGGTTCTTTATTTAATTTAGGTTACTGATTGAATTCAGAGATCTTCTAATAGGCTACTAAATCATCATAGTTTGTTCAAAGCTTTTCCCTCATTATAGTTTTCTGTATTGCCATTTTCTAACTGAGAATGCAAGGAGTTAGCTGACTAGGACTCAATGTATAATTGGCATGAGTGAATCAAAATATATGACTCAGTCCAGTTTTGCCTGACACTTCAGCAGAATCATTTTTTAACTGATGTTGCCTTTACAGGGTTAGGACAGTTGTAAGGATTAGTCTGTTCTTTATTACTATGTGATAGAGTCACTGATGCTGCTTTGCTTTGAGTTTTTATAACCAGCTTACTGATGCCAGATCATGTCCTTAAACATTTTGCCTTTCCTCATCTTATCTCACACACCTTCTGGGTCTCTGTTTCATTTTTTAAGCCATTCACTGTTGACAGTTGCCAATCAGCATGTTATGTTTCTGGCTGTCTGACAAGAGAAGCAAGCTGTTGCAATTTGGAGAGCTATTTCAGCCTCCTTAAACTGAGTAAAACGTCTTTCTGTTTATAAGTGGTACCAGTTACAATAATAGAACACTACCATACATACTGTGACTGTAGAGATAACTTTTTCTGCCAATAGAATTCCCTTATTGCAAAAAGAAGTATTGGTGAAATAACAAAGGCAGCTAGAAAATGGATATGATATAGATATTTTGTCAATGTAAAGAGGAGTGGGGGAAGGGAGCAGGGCCGGTGACATTGAAGCAGACGTGAGTGAGGAGCCAAAAGGATTTCCTGAATGAGCTGATGTTCTGTCCTCCCACTGTCCTATTCCTTTTCAGTAGGTATGATTGTGTTACAGTTTATCCAACAAAGTTCCATTGTGCCACCATTTGCACTGTTTTGGTGTGGTTGCCATTTCAAGGGTTATAAATACTCCCCAATATCTGGAGATCTCCTGGAATTAGCAGCAGTCTCCCAGTGAACAAAGCAAGTATTCGGGAGATTTTGGAACAGAATGGCCAGTGTGGCACAGGATCCAAGCCCCAATCTCCGTGACTGATTCAGGTGAATCAATATATCTTTGCAAGGAAGTGGAACTGCAGTAGCATGTTCATTATTATTTAGTATTCTTCAATATTGAAAAATCAGGAAAGCATGTATTATATCACCACAGTCCCGGGGTGAACCAGCTGTTCACCGTCATTCTTGACGTGCTCTGGGTGGAATCTACAGTGGATAAAACAAAACATACATTGCTGGACTGAGTGTAAGTGAGAATATTTTAACAGAATTGTACCACTTAAACATGGCAGTGACCTGAGGTCTTTCCAGTTAAATGTGCATCTAAACGTTTTTTATATAAAACCCTCTAAGATTCTTAACTGGGTCTGGAGTGGGACTAAGCAAGGCAGGCAATTCTGTTTGAATTAGTAAAGGAACCAAGTCTTTTCTGCCCCTCATAACTCACTTGTGTCTCACCGCCAGTTTTCTGTTAACAACCTTTCCATCAATGTCTCCCAGAACATGTCCAGCCAGAGTTGACAATTCCAGATATTTCTGTTTGTTAATATACTGACATTGGAAACCTTGATGTGCAAAAGGTTCATTCAAAAGACGTATGCTCTAGCTGGCTACAATATTTTTCCTATCTCTTTTATTGTTAATAATCTTTCTCAAATTTGTATCCTCATTAAAGTAATGTGACAGTATCTCATCTGATTATTATCTGTTTTCAATTTCCTAATGTCCTACTGCAATTTCTTCCACATAACCCCTTGGAGAACAAAGAGAAGCATTTGTAAAAGAGCTGATATTGAGATTCAAAACAAACATGACTGCACTTGAGCAATAAAAATCTACGTAGTGCTAAATTACAGAACTAAAACATATTTGTGCTAGTATTACGTTTTCAAATATCTGTCTTCTAGCATTGTGTTCATGATTATCCACGTTCTTTGAGTTCTTGATTGTTCATTGACTTTTGCCACTTGAGTAACAAGTAATTTGCTAATAGGAATTTGAGTGTTTTGTCTATGTACAGTAAAATTGCAAGATAAAATATAATTTTAGATCTTAATTTTTTCAGTCATAGCCTTATAGTTTATTAAACGTCTATATCATACAAAACTGTGAATTTTGCATTTCAAGCCTCTAAATGTGACTTCTTAAAAATTGTATAAACTACTTATTTATTTAAGTTGTGTTGTCTAAACAATGTAACATTAGTCGGGAAAAATGCTTCTTGTCCTTTTGATTTTGGTCATGGTGGTTGTAATTTTTTTTATTGTATTTATTTTTTTCCCTACATTCACCATTCCTTGCAGAACAAAGTCTGTCTTCTCCACTTCAATCCCCAACATCCCCATCGCACCCACAGCTCACAGAAGGATCTCACTTTATGTGTGTCTGATATAAAAAAGTAAGCTTAATTTATTACAATAATTTTTTGTCAACTTACAATTTTTTTTCTGCCAAATATGTGTAGGCAATATTTTCTTGTCTTAATGTTGTCCTGCTAAATTCTCAGTGGAAGTTCTTATTGAGCATTTTGTTCCTTTGTCCTTCCTGCTGCTGAGAGGTTGTTGATACATGTTTAGAAAATTGACACACTCAATAGCATGAATCCCATTTAATTATTTGTCCAACTGGCATTTTTTAACTACTCTGAAGGATTGAATCTTGCTTTCTTTCTACTCCATAACAATCTATTTGTCTATCAGCCCAAGAAAAATGTCTTTTGAAAATAGCTCAGGAAAAGTTGATTTATATTTTTTATTAGTCTTTATTTTTTTCAAGATTCTCCACTATGTGAGTTTGATTGGCTCAGTGCAGTATGAACAATTTGAAATATTCAGATCATGCAGCATCTGTGTAGAGAGAAAATAAAGTTGAAATTTCCTTTCTGGGTCAAAGCAAAATACTGTGGTGCTGGTAATCTGAAATAAAACAAAAAGAGCTTCTGAAGAAGGGTTATTGGACCTAAAACGTTAACTCTGTCTGCACAGACCCGTTGAGTTTAAATGGCAATTTCTCTTAATGTTTTCAGGACATGAGTTCATGTTCCACCATGATAGATAATGAAATTTGAACTCATTTTTAAAAATCTGGATGTAAAAAGACAGGTAACCACTGTTGGTTGCTATAAACCCATTATTCTCTTTTAGGAAAAGAAGTTTGCTTCCCTTACCTGGTCCGGACAACATGTGACACCAGACCCACACTGATGTGATTTTATCTTAAGTGTCTTCTGAAATGTCCTAGGAAAACACCAGTTCAATGGAAATTAGGGGTCAACTAGCTGAGCCAGTGATGCCACTATCCTGTGAATGAGTAGAGAAGAAGGTGGAAGGGAGAAGTAAATTCAATGGCAAAAGGAATGCCAGAATTAGGCAAACAGGGATGGTAATGTGATGAATAAAGAAACAAAAGATGGTTCTGTAGCAGCATTAACTGCCAATAGCAGAATTATTACTAGTATCTGATGTTTGCAAAAATGAAATCAGTAATTGTGATCCGAAATTGTTGAATTCAATTTTGAATCGTTGTCAGTGAAGACTTTGAAATTGAAAATTAAACTATTGTTCCTCAAACTTACATTGAACTTCAGTAGTCTAAGAATAGCAAGGTCAGAGTGGACTTAAAATGGCAAGCAAACTAGATGGTGATATTCAGCAAAGCAATCACCCAATCAGAAGAAGCAAATACTCAAATGACAGCGATATGAATAAATTGCTGTTGGAATAGAGGCAATGACAGGGCTGGTGTTGCATTTTCTGTGCTGCATGGGAAGGGAAGTGTTCATTGAGGTGATGGCAGCATAGCCCAAGATATCACAGTGAGTCATGTAGCCCTTTGGATTATTTAAGGAAGGACAGAGATGTTTTTCGTGATGGCGTTACTTTGGTGTTAGTAAAACTGGCTGAGGGTAATCTGTTGAATGTAAGTGTGGTGCAAGGTGTGGACAGAGGGATGCCTACCATGGTTATGGGAAGGATGGAAGGGGTGAGAACAGAAGTACATGAAATTGAATGGACATGGTTATGGCATTGATGACATTGCTGGGGGAGAATGGCAATTGAGGAGAAAGAAGTTCAATTGGAAGCACTTATTTGAAAGGTAGCATCATAAGAACAAATTAAATGGAGGAACTAAGAAAATGGCATAGAATCCGCAGGAAGCGGGGTGAAAGGAAGACTAATCAAGCTAGCTGTGGGAATTATTGGGCTTGTAGTAGACATTCATGACTACCATTTCCCAGAAATGGAGATTGACAAGTTGGGAAAAGGATGGGAAGAGTCAGAAAGAGTCAGACAAGGGAAGGATGGAAATTGGGAGCCAGGTTGGGAGTTGTTGTAATTTTTCAGTTGGAGCTGAAAACAGTAAGCTGCACTGACACAATTATTGGTGTACCAGGAACAAGACAAGAGAGGGGTTCGTAGTATCAGTGGAACTAAGAATACTCCACATATACTACAAAAAGAGAGGCACAGCCAGAACTCATGTGAGTTCCCAAGTGTTGTATTTTCTTTGAAGAAAGTAAGTGAATTCCAAAGGCAGCCACTCATTGTGAAAACATTTCAGTTAGATGGAGGAGGGTGATTATGGATGGAAACTGGTTGGAGCTCAGAGGAAGAGACAGAAGATTTTCCTTCTGATTCATGGGGATGGAGGTATAAAGAGATGAACAGCTCTGAAAAGATGATGGTTAGGGCCAGGATCCTTAAGGTGGTGGTTGAGGGCTGGGGGTACGGGGATGAATCTCAGAAAAGCTGTGGTGCTAGCCTCCAGTGTAACTGCAGACCCACTGCAATTTGTCTTGTGAAATGGCCTAGCATATCACTCAGTTCAAGGGAAATTCTGGATTGGTAACAAATGTTTCTGCCAAGGATTTTTGGGTCTCATAAAAACTATTTTTTTAAATCTTCCCTTGTCATAGGTGGGAATGTTCATTAGGTTTAGATGGTTCTGGTGAAGGATCCTCAGCAAGTTGCTACAGGGCACCTTGCAGGTGGTACTCATTGTGTAGGAGAGAGATTGGTTAAGACGGTAGATGGCTTGCCAGCCATGTAGGCTGGTTTGTCCTGGATGGTGTTGAGATTCTTGAATGTTGCATCTAGGATTTGAAAGTTATCCATCACACTCCTGCCTCCTAGGTAGTGGACGGGCTTTGGGGAGTCAGAAGGTGAGTTACTCGATACGCAATTTCCAGCTTCTCTTTTGTTCTTTTAGCCACAATATTTAAGTGACTTGTTCATTTACATTTCTGGTCAAAGGTA